CTAACCCTGCCAAACCAGACCAACAGATAGACAGACAGGCAGGCAGACAGACAGACAGACAGGATACCACGCGACCGTGACCGTTGCACTCACATGGAGGAGTACCGCTCGTCAAGCTGGGTGAGGGTCGGGAAGTACAGCTCGTCGGGAGCCTTGGACGTGGCCATGTACAGCAGCAGCCGCCGCGCCTCCGAGCTGTGGATGGCGTACTCCGTCAGCTGCCTCGACAGCATCGTTTGCTGCAACGACTTGAAGAACTTGTAGTCCGTCTTGGGCCGCTCCTGGGACCCCGTATTACCGCTCATGGTGCGGTACTCTTTCACTCCGCCCATAAAGTCGTCAACGTTAACCTGCGTGTGTGTGCGTTGTGTGTGTTATTAGCATCAACCGTGCTACCCGGCTGACCAATGAAAAAAAAAAAAAAAAACTACGTCTCGGGAAGCGGGGCCAAAATTCGAAAAATACGCAACACGCTAAGTGCGAATGCCAAAACTGATCTCTCTACAAAGCATTTTCACAGAGACACACATCACAGCACCACGCATATCCTCGCCCGAGCCTAGGCAGCCACTGATCCAAAGATCGGAGGGCTGCACAAGGGCCAAAAAGACTCACGTCCTGCACGCGCTGTTCGTGTCTCTCCATCTGCCCGAAGAAGTCGTGCCCCTCGATGGGCCAGCACTTGATGAAGTTGGTCCCGTCCTTTTGGTCCTTGAGCCATCGCCGCATCTCCGCCTGGCTCGCGGACGGGTAGTCCTCCTGCCGATAGCGACAAAAAACAAACACAAACAGCGTTGCGCATACACAAACAACCGACAACAACGACAACAACAAATTAACACCGTTATGCATGCACGATGTCGGGGTAAGTGCTCCTGCCGGCAACAAAAACAAAAATGCTCTCATCACTCGTACACAAATGTCGGGCTGAAAGTACTCCGACAGTATAACCCATGATCATGAATCAAGTCTACAAAGGCGTCCCACGTCTTTCCTCTTGTTGTAGACAAGGCATGTCCCCCCTGCTTGCAGGCGAAACTAGGCACGGCGCCCCCCCCCCCCCCC